AAATGTCTGGTTGAAAATTCTAACCAATTCATTTTCCATGAATCATCAATTCAGCAAGGGGTCATATAGTGCCCAAGTCTGTCGTCATTTTGTAGTTCATTGGAAGTGTTTTGGGCTAGTAAAATATGATGAGGGCTTGGACATTTTTTGTTAACAAGCCCTCCCGGCCAGTGAACTTTGGAAACTAATTCATACACTGTCTACATGATAAGAATGAGCCTACATGAATGTATAGTGTGATTTACACATAAACTGGTTGAAGAACCGTTTTCATGCAAAAACAAATTATGTATCCCAATATGTACTGCAGTATCATGATGTCCATCACTGCAGGAGGCAGCAGTGTCATGACACCTCAACCTTTCAATACCAACATCCTGCCTATTCCAGGCATCACCAACCATCCTGTGAATGACCACTGTGTGAAGCCCGCACCAGCAACACAGTGACCTAGCCTTGCACCAAGTCTGTACCAAATGCATGTATAGTAACTCCATCCTTATAATAGTCTAAATAAGCAGACAGTACAGGGCCTCTAGTCATTTATAGGGACAACTTATTCAAACTAATTATTTCCTTAGAGACTTGTGCAAGTCTAACAGTGAGCATGTAGGGGAGACTACTGCATTACAGTCTAGTCGGTCAAAATGCCAATGCTTGGAATCTTGTCTTATCTGTTATGTCTGCCTTATCTTTTCTGTTATGTCTGGTCCTTATCTAAAATGTCTTAAGGTACATACACATTTTGTATGTTTACATTATGACATGGCTGCAAACTTCAAATACAGCATTAAAAATTGGCACTATTCCTTTAGTCTTTGCCAAACTACCCAACAGTTAAGGTATCATAAGGATGAGTTTGACAAAAACAGTTAGATTCTATTGCAGAAATATATGTTCACGATACTTGAATGCTAATGAATCATACCAACTTGGCACATAGTTGTGTCAGCATATACAATAGAATATGACCTGTCCTTGCCTTTCTTCAGGTCAATAACAGACATCCCCCCTGAGGCTACGAAATGTGTGAGGGTGCCTCAAGGCAGAGAGAGTATAACTAGACTGGATTGTCAAAAATAAGCTAAGATCAAAGAGGATCTAGACACAACTGCCAATGTAACTTGATATATTGCAATTAATCCTTATATTCTTTGTCACATTTCTAGCAGGGTTGGGAGGACGATCATCAGGTTTATCCAACATGGGCTTAACAAGGATTCTAAACTTGGTAAGAAGCAAGAGATTTTTAATAAAAATATTTCAATTTTTTTTTTTTTAAAGTTCTTATTTTCTTAAACATACACTTATTAATATATACCTATTCTAAATATATACAGTGTTCCCGCTGGCTCTTGAAACTGCCAGTCCTTTTGGACTGGTAACTCTAAAAATTACCAGTCCCCCCTAATCATGCTAATATTTGTCAGTCCCAACATTCAACAAATAAAAAACCGTATGAAAATTACCTGGTTATAATTCTTTCAACTCCATGTTCAATGCAATTATGTCATCTCTGAAGTAGCTTAGTTAGATCTACACATTATTCACACAAAGTTCAGTCACAACTATCTATTATTCTTATCTTTTTTTTTGATATTTCAAGATGAAGTCACTACAAATATTTTTAACCATGAAGCAAAGCAAAATGTCATTTCCTTGCACTAAAAATCAACGAGGGGAAACTCTGATGGTAACAGACAAGCTGACCTCGTTCGGAAAACATACTTATATGAATATCACAGATTAATAAGATACTTTATTTGCCGGTCCACAGGGACTGGCAGTCACATGAATTACCTGTCCAAGCCTAACTTTACCGGTAAAAAACTGGTAAATACCGGTAAAAGGGGAACACTGATGTACTGATGGAAATGAATAAGGGAACGTTTAGTTTTAGACTCAGTAGAATGATATGCTAGCATGGGTTCCCAGCCTTGTCTGCACATTGGGAACAATGCACACAAACACATCTCAACATTTGATTCTGACATGTGTGGAATTGTATGCACGCTACTTCAAAGTGCTGACAGGAAATCTTTTTCCCCCGTATTTTTCATTGTTCCCACAGCCGTTTCCTCAGTATAGTAAATTAGTAATATTAACATTAAGCATTAAATCCTCTCCCTCTTTATTGGTCCTGATATCAGTGCAATAAAGGACAACTATTACAGTAGCTATAAACCACATTAACATGAATTAAGAATGTTTTAATTCCAATTCGGGAATTTTGGCCGACATTTGCTGCAGAATACCAAGAGACCTGATCAGGGCGGAGTACCAGCCTCTGATCAGGCCTAGATAATAGGGCTGGGAAGAGTTCGAATTTACTACCCGGGTACCCACCCCCCTATTACCCAACCCTACCCAGGTAACTACTGTAGGTCTCAAGAGATAGGTACAAAATGTCCGATTAGGCCTTTTATTACCATAGCACTGGCAAAACGTATCTTTAAACAATCTGGTCATGCATACACTGAAGTTGACTCAAGTTATATTTTTATTCAAAGATGTGAAAAGTCACAAGAAATGGGTGCATCGTCAGAAAGAAATGCGGACATTTGTGACTTATAGTGTAACCATAGAGTTCTAGATATTTTTTGTCATTAAACAATATATCACATGACCAGCCACGGGTCCGGGTAGTCCTGTGGGTAACCGGGTCCTACTCAGTACCCACCCGACCCGGGTACCCGAGTTACCCGTCCCAGCCCTACTAGATAAATCCCTGTTTGACTAATTGGTTTGCACATGTGAAGATCTGGGGTAGAATAGGTTTTCAGCAATCCATGCTTGCCGTAAAAGGCGACTATGCTTGTCGTAAAAGGCAACTATGCTTGTTGTAAGAGGCGACTAACGGGATCGGTTGGTCAGGCTCGCTGACTTCGTAGATGCATGTCCCAATTGCGTGGATCGATGATCATGATACATGTATCAGTAACTGGATTGTCTGGTCCAGACTCGATTATTTACAGACCGCCGTCATATAGCTGGAATATTGCTGAGTGCGGCATGAAACAACAAACCAACCAACCACATGTGGCATTAGATCAGAATTTGAAAAGTTGGGTTTGGAGAAAAACATCCACAGCTGATACATACAGGTTTCACAAAAAATGTATTCACATATGGATCAGCAGTGGAGCTAGACCCAAGATATGGAATAAATTATCATGATCATCAGTGTGAAACAATTGGATTTCCAGCTTGCTTATTCCATTCCCATAATAACCTACAGCTGTACTGTACATAAAACTTGGTCAGCACTGGTGTAGTGATGTTACATTCACTGACCAGTAATTTGTATACTGACAGATCACAGTGCAGTGTTCACATAAGACAAGAAATGGTTTATGGATTCTGCTGACGTAAAAGTTGCAAAAACAATCTGAAAATGCATGATTACATGTTCATCACACAAAAAACTGTGCTTACAACATGTACAAAAGATCACAATAAGTTAAATGACAAGATAAGCTTTTCAACACCATATACATGGCAACATATTCAGATATTCTGATAACATTATATCCAAAAGAATTTGATATTATATTATCATGATTATTATTCCCACCTACTGACCAGGATTTTTCACACAAAAACTTGTCAAACAAGAAACAAAGACTAGCCTGATGGGATTGAGGTAAAATGGGCAGTCAAAACCTTAATGTTCATATTATTTTCTCAGTTTATGCAGTTTGGGGTAGAATGAAACAGGGTTTCATATGATGCTGGAATCCTGATTTTCATCCAAAATATTCCTAAATATTTGTTAGAATACTTTGAAGAGACATATTTGACACAACTCAGTTTGTCTACTTCCAGGGCTTGAGTGAGTATGGTTTTACATCGCTTATAGCAATATTCCAGCAATATCATGGCGGGGGACACCAGAAAATGGGCTTCACACATTGTACCCATGTTTGGAGTCGATCCCGGGTCTTTGGCATGACGAGCAAACGCTTTAACCACTAGGCTACCCGACCGCCCCTCCAGGGTTTGACTTTGACTAACAAAACTGGGGGTGCAGGGGACCCCTATATTTAATTTCAAATGTAATTTGTCATTTAGCATGTTTAGGCTGGTAATATACACTTGTATAGTGTATAATAATACAAAATACTGTCTATATATTCCTGTGGAATGGGTTTTCAAACGCTTAAGAAACAGTCATAATTTTCTCTCTAATCGCATGAATAACTGTAAAACATCTCTGACAATAACTTATAAATTATAAAAGACAACTTTCTCTTGAACATAAGCTATCATCTGAGTATTTACAATGTCTGTGTGATGCTAAACCACCTGTTATAGCGCACGTAGTCGCGATAAACATGGCTGTCTGAAAACGTATGAAGTCCAAAAACCTATGATTCCCTGATATATATTACCAGCCTAAACATGCAAAGTGAAAGTATAACTTATAAATATTATAAATTTTGGTATCCAGGTTTCAAAATAAACATGTCAGCTTGACCATGACCAGCACAATTCTGAAAGGCCTACCACTCTTACCATCAAATGGATATATTTTTATAGGTCTAGGGATGAATAATTTCAAACCCTGGATTTTTTCTTATATTATTCCTGGCAATTGGACTTGCAATTCGATGTAGAAAATTGGTATCTTCGTGTCCTGATACTGTATTGGCATGAAGTTACAACAATAGTTAATACAAGAATGGGGGGCTGAAACAAGTTGATCATACATTGATCGAAAACCGAACAACCCTTTGGCTTTACCGCCGGTTGACCGACAAATCAACGAGTTTGGTGAAATATAGGATGATCATTAAAATAATATTTGATACTTTAAAATTAATACATATCACATGATTCCATACAGCTGAATACCACTAAAACACACAATCAATTTCCAATCCAAAGCCAACATAATTTCAACTAATCCGTGAAATGACTCGTGGCTGGAATCCTGAAAGGACGATATTGCCAGCTGGGAAATGATGAGCAGAAGGGAACATCATCGTGATGGGACTTACTGTCAGTGACTTTGATATCCCATTTTTACTGTTATTGTCAATATTTGGTGTATCTTCTTTCATTGACGCATTATTAACAGGCATGTCTAACGCTTCTAAAATGCATCTTGGCTACTGTCACAAATGTTGTTTTCGTGTGGCAGCCATTACGACAGTGCTGCCCTCTATTTGCCATACAACTAATTTTAGCTTGTGAAACTATCGCGACGTCTGCCGATTTGAAGCGACGTTTATGATTCTGAGTTGATGGGCCCTGCTCTCCGCATAATGTTTCGTTGTGTTATTTGAAATTATTCGACTGACGTCTAAAACTGAGGAAGACGACGATTCGGATAAACTCATGTAATCGTCCCCTGGCTGTATGTCTCGCACATTAATTCACAAATGACACTTGATAACCATGGTATAACGTCTGGTTTCAGTTGATGTGTGGTGACATCCAACGTGTCGTCTCTAGTTTTGCCAATACTAATGCGATCATCATCTTTAGGCTGTGAATATGTACTTGTATATAGATCTATGTAGTGTATAATAACACAAATTATTATTATGTACAGATTTATTTTTTTTTAAACCGCAGCAAAGAGGGTTTGGGTGATCCTGGCACAGTCAGGCTGGTTAGGCTCATCATCAGCTCAGGGCACTTGCCCCCTCTACTCGCAGCCCAGACAGCGAATGTGACTTCTCCCAGGAAGCGCTGCCTAGCCAAACCCACCCAGGACTTTTCGGAGAATGTGAAGACTCCCAAACACTACAGCCTTCTGCATTACCCAGATTGTCAGAAGGGTTGTAATCCTGGCAACAAACCCGGGTACTCTCCCATTATTATTGTTGCGGTTGTTGTTGTTGTTGTTGATGTTTATGTTGCCGCCACCAAAATCATTACTATTGTTGTTACTTCAACAGATTTTCTTTCAGACGATTTCTTGATTTCTTCTGTTTTAACCGGGGGTGTATTGGCCGATTTGAACACGTCTCCTTTTCGCTTATAAGTGAAAATAATCCACTTCCACGTTTCTCAAGATTATATAGGGGCGGTGTGGTAGCCTAGTGGTTAAAGCGTTCACTCGTCCCGCAGAAGGCCCAGGCTCGATTCCCCACATTGGTACTGTTTGAAGTCCATTTCTGGTGTCCCGCCGTCAAACTGCTGGGGCATTGCTAATGCTGCTAAAAATTATTGCGTAAATGATTGTGTTACAATATTAGATGTGAATTAAAATCATAGTCAAGAGAATATGTTAATATTCCTGCTTGGTATACAAACTCTGAACCTTCTAAATGTTAAATTACAACGCTGCCATCGGGACTGCGCGGTGGAATTTTCAATGAAACAGATGTCAGTGAGTATTTTATGTCCGTTTCAGTTACTTTTGTGAACCGTGACATCAACATTACAGGGAAAGAAAGTAAAATAATACACTCTTCAAAAAAGAAACGCATAGGTGTTTTGAGAATTCCAATTAGATTTTTTTTCCCCAACTATCGTCATAAAGACAATTGTTATGTTTGATTCCCGTTAATCATGTCATGTTTGTTGTGCATTGCGCGCAAACACATCTCAAAATGTTTTTTGTAAACATTTATCAGCAAAAATGCAAAGGATGCACGAAAATTGCTTTCAGAAAAAGTTTTCAACAGAATGCACGTGCAAAATGTTGGAAACACGAGTAGAGACACTGACTATGAAAGACCGTACAAAATTCATCAGTTCATTACGAATTTTCTGACGTGAACGGAGATCGAAAAATGCCAAGATTAACTGGAGCTGACCGAAATATCGCCATTGGACGTTTGGAAGCAGGGGAGTGCCAGTCTGCCGTTGCAAGACACTTCAACGTTCACCAAAGCACCATATCTCGACTATGGGATCGATATACCTGTACTAATTCGACTCAAGATCATCCCAGAAGTGGAAGACCAAGAGTGACCACCCCTACTCAGGATCGGTACATCCGGTTGCATCACCTTCGGAATCGATTTGCTACAGCAATGGACACTGCAGGACAAGTGCCTGGTATGCGAAGAATTTCCGACAGAACCATCAGAAATCGTCTGAGGGAAGTGGGAATTCGAGCGAGATGACCAAAAGTTGGACCTGTCTTGCGACGTCTACACCGCCAACGACGTGTCCCTTGGTGCAACAGAGTACAGGCATGGGATCTCAGGAACTGGCGACGCGTTTGGTTCAGCGATGAGTCACGTTTTCTTCTTCAACGAAGGGATGGAAGACAACGTGTATACCGACGTCGACACGAACGTTTTGCGCCGAACTGCGTTCGACAGGTGGACCAATTTGGTGGAGGGAGTGTCATGGTGTGGGGAGCCATATCCTACACGGGTAGATCACAGTTAGTGGTTGTCCAGGGCAATCTTACAGCAAACCGATACATAGACCAAATTCTGCGTCCTCACCTCCTCCCAACTTTGGACCGCCAGAGGGAGCTGTTCCAACATGACAACGCTCGGCCCCACACAGCACGTGCAACAGTTAATTTCCTTGTTAATGAGAACATCAATGTCCTTCCATGGCCGTCCAAATCGCCTGATCTCAACTCGATTGAACATTTGTGGGACGAACTTGATCGACGCGACCGTCAACGTCACCAGCCTCCCCACACACTGGCACAACTCGCCAACGCCTTACAGGAGGAATGGCGAAGAATTCCCCACGAAAAAATCCGACGACTTGTGCAATCTGTGCCAAGGAGGTGTCGAGCACTGACGGCTGCAAGAGGTGGTGTGACCAGGTACTGACCATGACGCCTCGCTTGTGGCTACTAATGTGCAATGACTGGACTGAATTAATGCTGACAATGACGACAATGCTTTTGTCGATCACTGTGTCTAATTTCATTTGATTGTGTTCACGCATCTACTGTGTAGATACTTTTACATCCGCTTCATAAACATCCTTATTTTTTAACTATGTCTTTCTTTTTTTGAAGAGTGTAGATGTACACTCGCCCGGGGGACAAGATAGTTGCACCATACTTTCCCAAAAGCACACACCTACACCACCAGCCACCAGTCACCACCCCACCACACACGCACCCAAACCACCAACCGTACAACCACCACCAACCCTACAACCACACCCACACCCCACGCACACCCTAACTACCAACCGTACAACCACCACCAACCCACCACCAACCCACCACCAACCCTACAACCACACCCACACCCCACGCACGCACACCTACACTGCCACAGATACACACACACAAACACTTAACCCATCCACAACGCCACCCACACCTCACCACCACACCACCCACGCACGCACACCCCAACTACCAACCGTACAACAACCCCCACACACACACACACCCACACACACAATCACACCACCAACCCTACAACAACACCCACACCCCACGCACGCACACCTACACCGCCACACATACACACACAAACACTCAACCCATCCACAACCCCACCCACACCTCCCCACCACCCCACCACACACGCAAGCACACCCCAGCCACAAACCGTACAACCACCCCACCCCCCCACCCCCCACCCCCCCCCCCCCCCCCCCCACCAACCCTACAACCAAACCCCACGCACACACACCTACACCGCCACACATACACACACAAACACTCAACCAATCCACAACCCCACCCACACCTCCCCACCACCCCACCACACACGCAAGCACGCCCCAACCACAAACCGTACAACCACCCCACCCCACCCACACCCACACACACACACACACCACCAACCCTACAACCACACCCCACGCACACACTAATACACCGCCACACATACACACACAAACACTCAACCAATCCACAACCCCACCCACACCTCCCCACCACCCCACCACGCACACACACGCACACCCCAACCACAAACCGTACAACCACATACACACACTCACACCACCAACCCTACAACCACACCCCACGCACACACACCTACACCGCCACACATACACACACAAACACTCAACCCATCCACAACCCTACCCACACCTCCCCACCACACCACCACGCACACACACGCACACCCTACCACACACGCACACACGCACGCACACACCAACCACCAACCTTTCATAAGCATAAGCATACTAGACAATACAAACATATGTAATTATGTTTAACTAAGAATAAAGGTTGGTGATTTGATTTCAACAAATTAACACGTACGCTCAAAACAGTTGTTCACAAATAAGTTGTATTCATTTGTTTCATGTCACCTGCCCCAACCTTGCATCTGCTGTTCTAAAAAAACCGAACAAATAAATACACAAATAAAACGGAGTCGAACTATATTATTAAAACCCGAAGACATCCAATGAATATAGCTTAGTGTACTTCCTTCAATCATAATTACAATGGTGAGTTTAGTCGGTTCTAATACCTTTGTTCATCAAACACTGCACCTTCAATGGCCTGTACTCACCTGCACTGGTAATTTCCTGGTCTTCAAGTCAGTCAGCGTCTCTAGGCCTGTTGTTGAATGGCCTGTTCATCCTGCATACCTCGCGTCACAGCCTGGGGGCAAGGCTGATGGCGGTCTCTAGACAGGTGTACCAGGCAAACAGATTTAACATTTAAAAATACATATATAAGGCGTCTTGTTCGGGGTGTGTAACGTATCACGAAGCTTTAGTACTCCATCATACTACAGTTGACATCCCACTTACATATCACCTCACCACAGTAACCGTCACCATGCCTTACTACAGTCATAGCACAGTCACCATGCCTTACTGTAGTCATAGCACTGTCACCATGCCTTACTGTAGTCATAGCACAGTCACCATGCCTTACTACAGTCATAGCACAGTCACCATGCCTTACTACAGTCATAGCACAGTCACCATGCCTTACTGTAGTCATAGCACAGTCACCATGCCTTACTGTAGTCATAGCACAGTCACCATGCCTTACTGTAGTCATAGCACTGTCACCATGCCTTACTGTAGTCATAGCACAGTCACCATGCCTTACTACAGTCATAGCACAGTCACCATGCCTTACTACAGTCATAGCACAGTCACCATGCCTTACTACAGTCATAGCACAGTCACCATGCCTTACTACAGTCATAGCACAGTCACCATGCCTTACTGTAGTCATAGCACAGTCACCATGCCTTACTGTAGTCATAGCACTGTCACCATGCCTTACTGTAGTCATA